GTGTGGGGATAGCTTCGACCCGCTTAGACACGTAATCTACAGCAAGGAGAATGTATTCAAAACCAAAGGACTTGGGAAACGGTCCCATGAAATCAATGCCCCATACATCAAAAATATCAACTTGCAAATTATTTACAAGGGGCATTTCATTTCTAGGACCTGTGTTCCCAATTCTTTGGCAGCGGTCACAAGATTTGCAAAAGTTATAGGCATCTTTAAAAAGGGTTAGCCAAAATAAACCTGATTAGAGGACTTTGAAAGCGGTCTTTCGACCCCCATAATGTCCTCCACAATGAAGCTCGTGGCAAAAGGTAAGGACATCTGATTGCTCTTCTTTGGCATACACCTCCGAAGAATTTCATCCTTTCCCATCTTAAAAAGGAATGGGTCATCCCAAAATAGCTCCTGCACATCAACACAAAACGTTTCCTCTCTTGGGAAGAGAGGTTAGCCAACAAGACACCATCCGACAAATAGTTCACTATGTCTGCATACCAAGGCACACTAACCACTTCATTCACATGCTCATATGGAAAATTATCATTTATGCCTACATGCTCATTCAATGCAAGTGAAGGGTCTGAGGGAACAATGCAAGACAAGTGATCAGCTACAACATTTTCACAGCCTTTTCTATCCCGAATCTCTACATCAAACTCTTGCAACAACAAAATCCACCTAATAAGCCTAGGTTTCGATTGAGTTTTACTCAAAAGATGCCCAAGAGCCGCATGATCAGAATGAACAATCACCTTAGACCCTAAAATGTAAGATCTAAATTTTTCAAGAGAGAATACAACGGCTAAAAGTTCTTTTTCAGTGGTCGTATAATTCAATTGGGCATCATTCAAGGTCAAACTAGCATAATAAATTACACGAAGCAATTTATCAACTCGTTGGCCTAAAACGGCTTCAAAAGCAAGGTTTGAAGCATCACACATAATCTCAAAAGGTAAAGACCAATCAGGAGCAATTACTATAGGGGCAGTCACAAGCTTATTTTTCAATTTCTCAAAGGCATCTACACATGCATTATCAAACAAAAATGGCACATCATTTGCAAGCAAGTGACACAAATGCTGGCTGATTTTCAAAAAATCTTTAATAAATCGCCTATAAAAGCCAGCATGACCCAAAAAACTCCTAACACCTTTTACATTCACAGGCAGGGGAAGTTTTTCAATAACATCAACTTTCTCTTTGTCAACCTCAATCCCGCGACTAGACACCACATGACCTAGCACAACTCCACTAGTCACCATAAAGTGACTTTTCTCCCAACTCAATGTCAAGTTAGACTCAATACACCTCTCAAGCACACGAGATAAATTATGGAGACAATCAGAAAATGAAGTGCCAAATATAAAGAAGTCATCCATAAATACCTGTAAGAAATCCTCAAGCATGTCGGAGAATATGGAGAACATGCACCGTTGGAAAGTCCAGGGTGCATTGCATAGGCCGAAAGGCATCCGTATGAAAGAAAATGTGCCGAATGGGCACGTGAAAGTTGTCTTGGGCTGATCCTCCGGAGCTATGGCCACTTGGTAGTAGCCCGAGATTCAATCTAAGAAACAATAGAACTGGTGGCCCGAGAGATGATCGAGAATTTGATCAATGAATGGCAACAGAAAGTGGTCCTTCTTGGTCACGACATTGAGTCGCCGGTAATCAATACACATCCTCCACCCGGTAGTGATGCGGGTGGGAACACTTCCTTTTTCACCACCTCCATCATGTTCGGGTTTAGCTGCCTCTGGCTATCCCGAAATGGTTTGGCACCCTCCTCCAAAACAATCCGGTGCATGCAAGTGGAAGGGCTGATCCCCTTAATATCGCCTAGACTCCAACCAATGGCTTTTTGCTTCTTCTTAAGTACCTCAATTAGCTCCTTCTCCTCTTCCCAGTTGAGCTCGGCAAAGATGATAACCGGCTTTTTCTTCTCATCCTCAAGGAAGACATACTTGAGGTGATGAGGCAACTCTTTCAATTCAAGTGTTGGTGGGGTTAGCGATCTCGGCTCTACGACCTCCATCAGTTCAATAAACGGTCCTTCCTCTTCTGCAAGATCGGGCATATCCTTCTCTTCCAAGTCTCGTATGGTCATCTCCTCGACAAAAGGGTCACTCACATCAACGAACGAACACTCCTCCACAAAGTTCACCGAGGATGTTGAGGTAGCTTCTCGGACAGAAATGGACACGGACTCTCCTAGGACTGTCATATTCAATGTCCCATTCTTCACGTCAATGAGTGTGTTGGTGGTGGCCATGAATGGTCTGCCAAGAAGGATGGTGTGTTCTTTTCCGTTCTCATGTACGTCCCCTACATCGAGCACCACAAATTCCACCAGGACGATAAGCTTTCCTACTCAAACAAGAACATCTTCCACCACCCCCTTGGGGTATCGAATGGAACAGTCGGCAAGCTGGAGGCACGTACGGGTTGATCTCAAGTCACCGAGACCCAATCGCTGAAAGATAGAGAACGGCATAAAGTTGATTCCCGCTCCGAGTTCAAGCATGCCCGAAGCTTCTTTTTCATTCCCGAGAGCAATCTTTATCACGAAACCCTCGGGGGCTCGTTCTTTCTTCGGAAGATCATGCTGCATGGCACTCGCCGCCTCATAGACCACTACTTTCTTCCCATCGCCGAACTTCCTCTTCTTGGTGAACAAATCCTTGAAGAACTTCACATATGACGGCATATTCTTGATCACATCTAAGAGAGGCAAGTTCACGTTGACCTTCAAAAGCATGTTGTAGAGGTCCCGGAATTGCTGCTCTTGTTTCTCATCCCGAAGTCAGCTTGGGAAAGGGATGCGTGGCTTGTAAGGGTTTGGAGACTTGTGAAGCAAAGGACTCTTTGTCAGTTTTCCCAAATTGGTATCTGTGCTCTTTGCGCTGTCATCGGTCTCTTTGGGCTGGTCGGTTGGTTTGAGGTCATCGGGCTCGGGCATTTTCACCTTGTTGTCAACTTCTTTCCCGCTTCTCAACACCGTTATTGCCTTGGCTTGCTCAGGCTGGCTCGTAAGTTTTCCTTTGTCGGACTCAGCCTCCATATTCCCGACTCTTGTGGCAAGCTGGCCCACTTGAGTCTCGAGACGCTTAATTGATGAGTCCTAATTGGTGATAAACTGAAGGATCTTGTCTAGCTTGTCATCTTGGTTGGACGAGCTCGACCCGGACCCTTGGGCTTGCTGTTGCGGTTGCTGTTGTTGTTGGTAGTTCGGACGGGGAATGAAGTTGGGACGGGGTTGC